AGGCAGGAATTAGAGAAGTCAAGGCGATGGATCATGGGGACGTTCCCAAGGAAGGCAGTGTCTCTGGGGCCTCAGACGGAGCGGACATGTTCAAATGGTGACGGATCTACAGGACTCGTTCACTTACCACACTTAGGAGACGACAAGGAAAGGGAGAAATCCAGGAAGATTTTCAGGTTTCTGACTAGGACAGCTGAACAAAAAGTGACAAAATACCAACTAACGAAAATGCAGGAAGAGTTCTCGGGAGAAAGCTAAGGAGCTCAGCTGGGACAGGCTGAGTTAAGCATGTGGAATTCCAGATGGTGATGTCAGATTCTAGGGAAAGAAGTGGACACTGGAGACAGATTTGGAAGTCATCAACTTAGAGAGACGTGTGTGGTGTGGGACTGCGCTGTGTGTGAGGCAAGACAAATGAAGACAGAAAACATGACCACCGCATAGAACAGCCAAGAGGGGAGGTATTTCTCTGTATGAAAGGATTGCAGAGACTTGAACACATTTTTGGGCTGAGGGAAAGAGATTAGAAGAGATGAAGCGGGGACACAGGAGACTGACAGAATAACTGATAAAGCATCTCCTTCTCAGAAGAAGGAAGAACATGGGCTCGGTAGCATGGGTAAACAGATTAAACAGGTAAAGAGACATCTCTAAGAAACACAACAGGGAAGTAAGGATGGGGGAACGTGTAGCATGGAAAAAAAAATTAAGGGTGTTCCCTTGAAACACTGTGTTCCTTTAAAAACACATAATACAGGGTATTAAACAATAGGTTTAACAACAACAAAATAATCCCAGTGTCGTCAAGTCGATTCCGACTCACAGCGACCCTGTAGGACAGAGTAGAACTCCCCCATGGGGTTTCCAAGGAACAGCTGGTGGATTTGAACTGCTGACCTTCTGGTTAGCAGCCACGCTCTTCAATAGCTGCACCATCAGGGGTCCTTAGGCTCAACAGGACTGTGAAAAAGGGGGGTGACATTTACACCTATGTAATATTCCAGTTAAAGAGCCACCATACGTGTTTTCACAAACTTACTAAGTGTCCTCTGATTAAGCTTTATCTCACTGTAACACTGACACTGTTTTCAACAACATTTTAAAAATAAGTTGATTATTAAACAAACAAACAAACAAAAAAACCCCAGAAAATGCATATAAAAAAATCATAAAAACCAAACTCGTTGCCTTCGAGTTGAATCAGACTAATAGTGACCATACAGGACAGAGCAGAACTGCCCCACGGGGTTTCCAAGGAGCGTCTGGTGGACTCCCAACTGCCAACCTTTTGGTCAGCAGCCAAACTTTTAACCAGTAGGCCACCAGGGTTTCCAAAATACATATAAGTCACCTAAAATCCTAGCACACATCTTAAATTCTATTATTTCCCTTCCATCCTTGTAACTATAAAATACACAGTAGGCACTTCCTATAAAATGGCATTACAACCGTGAGAGAAGTGGACTGTAAGCTCTTAGGTTCCTATTGCCAGCACTGAGACTGCCTTACCATAATACCCTGAGCCTCTTAGGGACTCTGACTCCTCCTTTACTGCTCACTCACAGAAACGAGGGATTGGCTGAGATATTGCCAGCACTGAGACTGCCTTACCATAATACCCTGAGCCTCTTAGGGACTCAGACTCCTCCTTTACTGCTCACTCACAGAAACGAAGGATTGGCTGAGATACTGTCAGCACTGAGAGTGCCTTACCATAACACCCTAAGCCTCTTAGGGACTCAGACTCCTCCTTTACTGCTCACTCACAGAAACGA